AAAAAAAAAAAAAGAATATGATGGCATTGAAGGGTGTTACCTCTCCATGTAAGTAAGAGAACAAGCCCAGTCAGAAATACCTATCTAGGGGGCATTACCATCCCATCAGGGATGTGTCGTCTTAATCATTATGATAGCCAGCCTAACATATTTATCTTGTGAACTAGATTTGGAGAAAATATAATGAAATTTACTTAAAACCTTGATATAATGTTTGAACATAAAACTATTATTAAGGGAACAGCAATTCTTTTGAGATAATGGATTATAAACAACTCCAGGGACAGAAAAAGTTGGCTAGAACTAATTTCAGCCTACTCTTACTTACAAATAGTTCTCCAAATGTTTAGTAAATAACAAAAATGTCTAATAGAACAGCAAAATATTTTATGAGCTTCCCATTTGTGTATCACCCATGAAAAGTTTTAGCAGAAGAGGTTCTTTTTTGATTAAGATAATGAAACTGGTGTTCGGCACATTAAAAGCCTCAACTTACACATTATACGAGATATACATGTAACAAAATGTTTATTATTTTGAAATTTAAAAAAATTTTTAAAAAGATAATGAAACTGTTTATCTCTGTGGTCCCATTGACTCTTAAGTTTTCTGTTTTAAGTTGTCAATTTTCTTTGCTTTAATATTTTCGGCAGCCCTCTGTTGCTATTCTTTGATATTTATGAGATTTGCCTACAAGGTGCAGCCTCGAAACTGGCTTCTGTTCGCATGCCATGCAACAAATGAAGTAGCCCAGGTCATCCAGGGAGGACGGCTTATCAAATATGAGTAAGCATATCCCAATTTAATTTTGTTCTGAGGAATTGGGGAGAATGAAACTAAATGATCCTCTCTTCAGGGATACCAGGGAACTTGGAAATGTGTGTATAGATGTGTTTTTATAACTGGGGAAACTGAACTTAACAACACATGAAGTCGGCTGACAGCATCCCAAATCAGATCTGAGATCTAAAATGCTCCAAAGTCTGAAACTTTCTGCGGACCAACATGACACCCAAAGGAAATGTTGGTAGGAGCATTCTGGATTTGGGATTAGGGATGCTCAACTAGTATAATACAAATATTCCTAAATCTGAAGAAATCTGAAATCCAAAACACTTCTGGTCCTAAGCATTTCTGATAAGGGATGCTCAGCCCTATTACTGTTTTTATAAAATTCTAAGTTGAAATATATGTTCTGCAAGGCCTTTTTAAAGCTATCCAGAGCCTTTTATTTCTCATTGTATTTTTCTTTGTGTTTATTTTCAGGATGTCTAAAAAGGCATCTGCATAACAAGGGAAATGAAGAACTGGCTTTTAAAGGGACAGCATCACCAGCTACGCTGCTGAGTCACAGATTCCATCATCACAGTCTTGCTAGGGAAAATAACGCTGAACGCTATTTTTACTAACCGTACTATTTTTATAGAGATAGCCGAGAGTCTGTAAACTAACTCTCTGCTGCCTTACTGAATATTTTACTTCTCTTCATAAAGAGTAGCTCAAAATATGCAATTAATTTAGTAACTTCTGATGATGGTTTTATCTGCAGTAACATGTATATTATCTATTAAAATGTACTCAGTGAAAAACTGAAGAAAACAAAATTTGTAACTACTAGCAATTAAGTTCTCAGAACTCTGGACTTTTTCATTAATGACAGCAAGACAACCAACAGCTGGCCACAACCTAAATTCTTATCCCTGGTGTTTAAAAATGTTATCTGTGTATTTCCATGCAGTGTGTATATTGAGATGCTGTAACTTAATGGCAATAAATGATTTAAATATTTGTTAAATTAGTATGATTAAATATCTTGCTACAGTTGCTAGTAAACTACAGACTGAATCTGAAAAGACAATTATAGGTGAGAAATGGAATGCCTTGAAAATTAAAATGGAAGGAGGCAATGCGGGCGGGAAGGGGAGCTTCTTCAGGAAGCTGGTCAGGGTGAAGGCTGGAAACATCCCCCAGTCACTGTGTCTACAGGCCTAGCACATGGGCACTGAGCGTCCCTTTTCTGCCTATGAGGAGTTGACATAGGTGATTTCTGTGGTGATCTCTGAACCCCGCTGTTTTCCACAGTGAGACTGCATTCCTGCATTCTGGGGACATGCCAGGAGCACTGCAGTAGGTCCGGGAGGAAGCTGATTTGTAGAGAAGGGATAAAGCCCTTAGTTTAGGTAGGAGAACTGTTCCCAGAGAAGTCTGACACATGACAGGACGTCGCCTCAGAACACAGTCCAGACTTCTGTTCATGTTATGCAGTTACGTCATGGTTTACAAGAAGTCCAGCTTGGGCTCGGCGCCTGTGGCTCAAGTGGCTAAGGCGCCAGCCACATACACCTACAGTGGCAGGATCAAATCCAGCCCGGCCCACCAAACAACAATGACAGCTGCAACCAGAAAATAGCCAGGTGTTGTGGCGGGCGCCTATAGTCCCAGCTACTTGGGAGGCCGAGGCAGGAGACTCACTTGAGCCCAGAAGTTGGAGGTTGCTGTGGGCTGTGATGCCACAGCACTCTACCCAGGGGGACAGCTTAAGGCTCTGTCTCAAAAAAAAAAAAACAAAAACCAGAAGTCCAGCTTGAACCCGAACACTGTTTCCCATTCTCTTGCAGTGGCAGACAGGACAGCAGAGCAGCTGGCAGGGAAGCCTGGGGTCAGGTAAGTCAGGACTCCTTAGGACACCTCTCTGTCTCCCAGTCCCTCTGAGGAGCCACTATTCTGTCACTTTTGTTTCCTTTTTAAGTAAGGTGCTATGCATTTGACAAAGCTTTGTCACACGTATCCTCAAAAACCTGTGAAGCAGGCAGGACCTTTATAGAAGAGGGAACAGGTGTTAGAGCAGTGACACAATTGGTGCTTGGCAGACTTGAGGCACTGTGCCCGCCCTGGGGCTTCTTTTCTTGCCAACTGGGACCTGCCAGACCAGGACTCCCTCAGGCTCATTCTTCACAGCTACCTAAGGTGGAGTTGAGGTCAGGTTAAAGGAACTAGTCTAAGTTAAACCTACTTGTTCTACTTTATGTAGTATACAAACAATGCTGCCTGCATAAAATTCAGAGTCACAGATACTGATTGTAGCAGCTGGAAGCCTCACTCCTTCCAGAGTTAGCCACTGTCAGGTTTTGTTGGTTTGGCATCTTTCTCTTCCTTTTGTCATCTTGGAAAAACTGCCATCCTGCAGGCCATGAGCACTGAGTAAGGAGCAAGGGGATTTTCCACACTCGCTGCAGAAAGATTTGCCAGGTCTCAAAGAGGTGATCCTGTAGGTCAGCCCAGCTGGAAGCTGGAAGCTGGAGGAGCGCTGGGGTCCAGCAGCAGATACTCCAGGAGGTAAGTGCAGGAAAGGCTCTGATAACAATCAGGGCAGCAAACTGGTTCAGTGAACTTTTCTCATACTCCTGAGAAGAAAATATGGAGAGAGGCCAGAAGGGCAACTTCTGCAAGCCAAAAGCTTCATGCAGGTGAGAAACAAGGCCGTAAAAACCAGATGCAGTCAAAGCAGGTGTATTTGGGAGTCGTGCAGAGTCTGTGTTCTTAGGAGGAGCCTATGAGAGCCACAGCTGCTGTCTGGGCCCAGCCGAAGTGGACTGGTCACGCACCTGGCTCACCGGTGGGCTCTCCTCACACAACACCCCGAGTACTTGCAAAGACAAAGGCAACGATGCAAAATGAACCATTAGAAGTAGTGGGGAAAGTGTGTGAGATGTTTGTACAGTGGTAAGCGGATTCCTAATTTTGTGTAGCACTGGGACCAATCATGGATATTCCAGAACAAGATCTTTAAGGTTCTTGGTTGCTTTAAGCTCATCATGTCTCATGTTTAACGTTAGCAGAAAGGACACTCAGAACAACTGGGGATTCACTGTAGAAGCGAGAGCCTTGTCAAGAGACTGACCAGTTAGTTAAATTCCGTTTCCCACTGGACTCTGGGGCAGAAGCCTTCCTGACAAGGCTGAGTCCTGGGTCCTGGGCACATCTTGCTGCTCTTTCATCTTGGAAATTCACAGAGCTCAGTCTTCTGGAGACAGATGAACTGTATCACTACAGTATTTGGTAAATGTTTGGTCTCTACTAAGAGTAAGCATTATCCTGCTTAATCCTAAGGACTAGAAATCAAATCTGGTCTCATCAGTATACTGTCAGAGCAGGTGTTACCTTGGCGTTTGGTATGTGCTAATGGGGCCAAGCGCTGCAATGCAGGTATATTCATATTAGCCACAGGACAGTCAGCACTGAAGAACAACCACACGTGAAAATGCAAAAACTCACGGACTGGTTTGATGTAAAACTTGATTACTTTAAAAGCCCCAATACTCAAAAATTTTAATTTCCATATTAATATTCTCCTAAAAATAATTCTCAAGGACTCAGAATATTTTTCTTTTTTTGAGACAGTCTCACTATGTCACCCTTGATAGAGTGCTGTGGTGTCACAGCTCACAGCAACCTCAAACTCTTGGGCTCAAGCCATACCCTTGTCTCAGTCTCCCGAGTAGCTGGGACTACAGGTGCCAGCCACAATGCCGGCTATTTTTTGTTGAGGTTGTCATTTGTTGTTTAGCTGGCCCGGGCCGGGCTTGAACTCGCCACCCTCAGTGTATGTGGCTGGTGCTGTAACCACTGTGCTACAGGTGCCAAGCCAGAATATGTTTCATTTCAAATAACAATAAATACAGAGAGTTCAAAGATGCAAATGAATTGAGACTAACTTCAAGACAAAGTTGATACCAACCGTCAACACTAAAGTGCCCTGTTGGTTCAACTACAAAGGCAGCTTTTTCTTTCCTAGGTTATAATAAATGCATGGGGCCAACATGACAATTGGAAAGTACTTCCTGCACAGCTAAAATGTGCAGCCTGGACAGTGAGTCCTGGCACCGTGAAGTGAGCCCACAGGCTGCGTGCACAGCTTGAGCTGCCAAGGTGAGGAAATGGTTGAGAAATCAACAGCCTTTAGTTTTGTAATTCTGCTCTGACTGCAACTGGCTTGGTTCTTCCCTCACTCCATGTAGTTCTGCCACTCTGAGCCTCAAGTTGGGTTCAATTGCTTTGTCTTTGTATGTTGTTACCTTGGCTCTCAAAGATGTTTTCTTGGATTAGTTTGTGTGGATAGTGCTCCCGAGGACACTCTGAAATTGCATCATGTTGCTGAGAAGAGATCCAACAGCCTCAAAAACAGTCATTGGTGCTTTAAGGTTGGGCAGAAGTGAACGTGGAGATTGCATCACAAGCAGCAAAGACCCAGTTGCCTCTGACTGTGGCCCTGGGGAGTGTCGAGAGAGCAGAGGCTGCGGAGGTCTGTGGGGAGACATGATCTGAGGGTGGAAACAGGAATCCAGGCCCGTCACACAGGACTCCCTGAGCTTTGCTGTTGTGTTGTTTCGGGCAGATACACAGAAGAGCTGGGCGAGGTGTAGCTACTCCCCAACAATTTCATCATCAAGTTTATCCCAGGGCACGCTCTGCCCTACCCCAGGCCTGCACTCAGCAATCCTCAGCCCATGGCTGCTCTGTCCATACTCCTGACAAAGGGCAGCACTTGGTCCCATCAGTATCTGGAAGAGCCATCCACCTGAGGCAGATGTGACATTATTTAGCCAATTACTTACAATGGCACCAAAACTAGTAATTCTGCTAGGATGGCTCAGTGGTGGTTCTGTTTCTAGTTATTAGACAGCCTTGCCTCAAGTTGAGTTGACTCCACTAATTAAATGTATGCACTTACATGTGAACATGGGCCCTAGTGAAAAGGCAAGGTAAATGTTCGTTTCCTTCCTTCCCTACCCTATTGAAGGAATTGGTGTAATAGCTACATCAGTTGTAACAAATCACTTTTAATTTTTTCTGCTTTGAACATCCTAATAGACTCATTTTCATAGATTTAATATTTCTATCAACTATGATTATTCTTTTTGGCCCAATAGTCACACCTTTGGCCACTAGGCCTCTTTAAAGGTATCCTTTTGATAGGATTCCATGAATCTTTGAACACCCCCATGTTTTCTGGTACGAAAGGATTTCTGCTTACCCTGTCCCTCGCCAGCCCCGACATGCAGAGTTGTTTCTCCAAGGAGCTCTGGCTCCTTTATGAGAATTGGTGTGTGTGGCTGACATGCAGGCTCTTGGCACTCTCGACACTGCGAGAGGGATTCTGCTTCTTGGCCATTTCAGTGGACAATGCTAGAAAGCATTTTCTAATAATTTCATGTTGATATTTCCACTTCTGTTCTAATACAGAATTTCTACTTAATTTGGTTTTATAATTAAATGTCTTTTCTCTTATACTGAATAGCATTATTTCTAATAACCCAAACTCTTCACACTTGTTTGCTTTATCCAACAATATAAAGAAAAATAATTTCATAATAACACCATTATTGCCACAATGAACTACTAAATAAAAGTTCAAAATTTATTTTTTGTTCCTTAGAATGCATTTTCAAAGTATGTGTGTTCTAAATTCACACGAAACAATCTTTTACTCCATGCAAGGTAAGCACTCACCCAATGTAGAGTTTAGTACAATTGTTTGTTTTTATTTCCAGTGTGAAGGTTTTGCAGGGCTAGAGGTCTACCAGTGATCTTTGAGATGATCCAAGCACCTGAGTAATGTAGTCTCTGTAAGTGCCCCACTTCCCCATCATTAAGTCGGTCTACTAATGAGTTCTGGCTAAACAAACCAATTCTACCCCTTACTATTTAATTTCTAGTACTATTAGAGCCTCAATATTTTTTCTTTTTAATCTTATCTTGAAAGATTATCTTCTGGAAGTTTTATCTTGTGTCCTTTTCAAGTTTCAACTTTTCTCTTTAAAGAAAAATA